ACCCTAATGTATGCGTGTGTTTCTTTTCAAATTAAAATGGGAGATCTAGAATCCGCTAAAGTTCACAACTTAGTTTTCATTCTTGAAAATCCTCCAGCAACTCACAATGATCTAAAGTTCATTGTTGATGGTCTGAAGAAATGTTGTTTGGAACATGCATTGATAACCAGCTTGACAATTTATTAGAACTTGATCAAAGATTTCTGGAGAAGTGTAGTCGTGAAGAAGGATGACAAGGATGAAAAGTACCTTGAAGCCACAATACAAGGATAGAAGATTCAAGTTTCAGAAAGGATCATTCAAGAAACACTTCAAATTGATGACAGACTAGAATATTCCATGGAAATTAATGTGCATCAAACTCAGGATGTTTTAGACCACATGGGGTATGAAGGAACATTTCCTCCTACTATCAAGAAACTGCTTCCTCCCTACTGGAAATATTTAGCTCATGTATTTGTGAGCTGTATTTCTTGTAGGAGATCTGGTGCGAACGAAATCTCTTTGGTCAATATAGGAGCCATCACCGCCCTGGCTTTAGGAATTGAATTTAATTTTTCAAAGTTTATCCTGCACGAACTGGTTATGAATATTGAAGAAAAAAAGAGAGACAAATTTTTGATGTACCCATGATTTCTTCAGATCATTTTCAACATTATGCATCATGAGTTGCAAAGTGGAAATGAGACATTGGATCTTAAATATGTCGGCCCAAGTGCATTTGGCTTAATGAAGTAGAAAAGAGGAGGAAAGTTTGTCTTTGAAGGGAAATTTCCATTAATAAAGTTTGGAATTTTTGCTGAAGATAGTGATCCGTCAAACTCAGAAGATCAATCTATTCATACAGAGACTGAAGATGTTGTGATTTCAACTTTTGAGCCGGAAATTCAAGAAGTTCATGTTTCTCCTAGAGCTGTAGTGGTTGTGACATCCCCATTTTCACAGCCAGAAAAGACCGATTTTGTTTATTCTTTATAAAAATCATAGTACTTCTTTTCATAAAAATGTTGCGGAATTTGTTCCCAGAAAAATACGATAAATACGTTATCAAAATATTTTCGAAGAAACGTATTTTCTTCATTTTAAAATGTTTGGGATGTCATCGTTAATACAGAAACATAAGCATAATCAGAACATAAATTTATTTACACTAGTGATCTACATCTCTGTAATCTCTCAGCGTAATGTGACTTCATATCAACACCTGTGGTATAAATAAACCGAGTGGGTCGGGTTTGGAAATCATGTGAGTACATAGGGTTTTCAACCCACAATAATATAATTATTATGTTTAGACAATCAAACAATCAACCTAATTACCCATCCCCATTATCTTCTTTAATCTTAAGGATCTACCCTAAGAATTAGCTATTCCTCGTTCATTCATTCCTAAGGATCATCCTAAGGAATCGGCACAAAGTCCATCGTTGCCACGGTTTAGACAACGGACACTAAGTCTGCATAGTCGCTAGGGTTTAGGCATCAAGTCTGCATGATCACCAAGGTTTAGGCATCAAGTCTGCATGATCACCAAGGTTTAGGCATCAAGTCTATAAGATCACCAGGGTTTAGGCATCAAGTCTGCATGATCACAACAGTTTAGAGTACACCGGGTGAACACATCGTTCATAACACCTAAAGGTAGAGAGCCAGCTAGTGTTCCACTGGATTGTCTAGAATATTCCGTGGTTGTCATCCATACTCTGCTGAATGACGGGGCCATCATTTCGGAACAAGGCTTCTCACATCGTCCACCTCTCACCCTCACCTCGTGGTCTATAATACCTCTCAACTCATCATTCAATTCATATTCCATCTATTATATCTACCCATGTTTACCCCAACATTATCGTAGATATAAAATACATATATAGTTTATGTCATTTAAAACATGTATAAAATCGTACATTTAGTATAGACAACAAGTACTGAGATAATATGCACACATAGCACGTAATTTATATAAAATACTTCATATCTATGTGTAAGATGAAAGTAACTATGAACTCACTTGAAAAAGTGGTGATTCCGATCTCAGACAGCGCTTCACTTGTTGAAAAAAAAAATTCCTTTGGCGAAACCAAGTATTATTACCACTAGAGTTTAGTCTATTATTCACCGAGACTAATTAATAGTCTAGCTATTATTACTATTATATAACCGTTAAATAATACTTATATAACCCATAATAATAGCCCAATTACTGATTATATGTTCTTAATAATGTTAATATAATTAAATAAAAACTATATTAAAAATAGCGTAGGCGTAGCTCACTTACAGCGGGTTTTATAGAAAACCAGGCTTTTCTTGGAGCAACATTCCCATGTGGAAAAGCTCTTCTTCTCGGAGCCGTCGATCACTCAGGGGCTTCCGCCTTGTGCTAGGGAGATTCCCTAGGCTTTTCGGGGGGTTTCAGTGCTAGAGAGAGGTTCTAGAGAGAGAGAGTAAAGATAAGAAATAATGAGAAAGGTGTGAAGAAAATGAGTGTGGGAGAGGTTCTATTTATAGGGTGAAAATGGTTGAACTTGGTGCCACATGTCACCATCTAGTGGTAAGACTTGGGGAGAGAGTAAAGATAAGAAAGAATGAGAAAGGTGTGAAGAATATGAATGTGGGAGAGGTTCTATTTATAGGGTGAAAATGGCTGAACTAGGTGCCACATGTCACACTCTAGGGGTAAGACTTGGGGAGAAAGCAATGACCAAGATTGTGCCACATCACCCATTTTCGCACAACACAGTTCCGACTTCTATAATCCGTAACTTTCACATACCACCTCTAATTTTAATGTTCTTTATATCCATGCGTAGGTAAAAATAATATCTACAACTTTCATTTTGACTCCGTCGGCTAATTCTTGACCGATCTTAAATTTAACAGTACGAGGCGTTTAGACTGTTAAATGACCGCGAAGAATTCGTAACTCCTTTATACGAACTCTGTTTTCGTCTTTCTATTTACTGTTAAGTTCCTATTAATGAGATCTTCAACTCTCATTTAAGTCACGTAAGCCAAAAACCACTCGAACTAAAATTCGAGTTTCGGGCCGTGCACTGCTAAGCCGAATCTTAGAAAAATCGTAACTTCTTCATTCGAAGTCAGACTTGGGCGTTCTTTTTATGGATTTTCTCGGTTTAACATAGTCTACGACTTTCGTCTAGATCACTAAGGCTAAAAAGTCCTCCATCGTAAAATCACTATGTACGCTTTCCCGTGTTGTGCTGGTTCCGTCGCGAAGCTTCGACGGGTCATAACTTCTTCATTATATTATTTATTCCAAATAGTATTTTGTCGAAAAGTCGTTTTCGACCCCTATTACCTCTAAATTGACTAGCCCAGATCTACGGGCGTTACAATTTCTAAAATAAGCTAGTGCTTGTATCTATTCAGGTGTATTACCTAAATCTATTAGACACACTCCTCACAATCATTGCTTGGCATTCTTAGTTTAAGTCTAGAAATAAATCTATATTCCTAGTTCGCTTAAACTAATGCTCTGATACCAACTGTGACATCCCCATTTTCACGGCCAGAAAAAACCAATTTTGTTCATGCTTTATAAAATCATAGTACTTCTTTCAAAATATTTTAGAAGAAACGTATTTTATTCATTTTAAAATTTTTGGGTGTCATCGTCAATACAGAAACATAAGCATAAACAGAACATACATTTAGTTACACTAGTGATCTACATCTCTGTAATCTCTATGTGTAATGTGACTTCATATCAACACGTGTGATATAAATAAACTGAGTGAGTCAGGTTGGGAAACCATGTGAGTACATAGGGTTTCCAACCCACAATAATATAATTATTATGTTTAAACAATCAAACAATCAACCCAATTACCCATCCCCATTATCCTCTTTAATCTTAAGGATCTACCCTAAGAGTCAGCTATTCCTCATTCACTCATTCCTAAGGATCATCCTAAGGAATCGGCACAAAGTCCATCGTTGCCACGGTTTACACAACGGGCACTAAGTATGCATAGTCGCCAGGGTTTAGGCATCAAGTCTGCATGATCACCAAGGTTTAGGCGTCAAGTCTGCAAGATCACCAAGGTTTAGGCATCATGTCTGCATGATCACCAGGGTTTAGGCATCAAGTCTGCATGATCACCAGTGTTTAGAGTACACCGGGTGAACACATCGTTCACAACACCTACAGGTTGTGAGGCTGCTAGTGTTCCACTGGACTGTCTAGAATAGTCCGTCGTTGTCCTCCACACTCTGCTGAATGATGGGGCCGTCATTTGGGAAAAAGGATTCTCACATCGTCCACCTCTCACCCTCACCTCGTGGTCTATAACACCTCTCAAATCATCATTGAACTCATATTCCATCTATTATATCTACCCATGTTTACCCCAACATTATCGTAGATATAAAATATATATACAGTTTAAATCATTTAAAACATTTATAAAATCATTCATTTAGTATAGACAACAAGTACTAAGATAATATGCACACATAGCACGTAATTTATATAAAATACTTCATATCTATGTGTAAGATGAAAGTAACTATGAGCTCACTTGAAAAGGTGGTGATTCCGAACTCAGACATCGCTTCACTTCTTGAAAAAAAAATAATTTCCTTCGACGAAACCTAATATTATTACCACTAAGTTTACTCTATTATTTACCGAGACTAATTAATAGTCTAGCTATTATTACTATTATATAACCATTAAATAATACTAATATAACCCGTAATAATAGCCCAGTTACTCATTATATGTTTTAATAACGTTAATATAATTAAATAAAAACTATATTAAAAATATTGTAGCCATAGCTCACTTACAGCGGGTTTTATAGAAAACCAAGCTTTGCTTAGAGTAGCATTCCCATGCGGAAAAGATCTTCTTCTCGGAGCTGTCGAGCACTCAAGGGCTTCTGCCTTGTGCTAGGGAGGTTCCCTAGGCTTTTCGGGGGGTTTCAGGGGCTAGAGAGAGGTTCTAGAGAGAGAGAGAGTAAAGATAAGAAAGAATGAGAAAGGTGTGAAAAAAATGAGGGTGGGAGAGGTTCTATTTATAGGGTGGAAATGGCTGAACTTGGTGCCACATGTCACCATCTAGTGGCAAGACTTAGGGAGAAAACAATGGCCAAGATTGTGCCAAACACCCATTTTTGCACAACACACTTCCGACTTCTAAAATCCGTAACATTCACATACGCCCTCCGTTGTTGACGTTCTTTATATCCACATGTAGGTAAAAATAATATCTACAACTTTCATTTTGACTCCGTTGGCTTATTTTCGACCAATCTTAAATTTAACAGTACGAGGCGTTTAGACTATTAAATGATCGCGAAGAATTCGTAACTCCTTCATACGGACTCTGTTTTCGTCTGTCTTTTTACTGTTAAGTTCCTATTAATGAGATCTTCAACTCTCGTTTAAGTCACGTAAGCCAAAAACGATCGAACTAAAATTCAAGTTTCGGGTCGTGCACTGCTAAGCCGAATCTTAGAAAAATCATAATTTCTTCATACGAAGTCAGATTTGGGCGTTCTTTTTATGGATTTTCTTGGTTTAACATATTATACGACTTTCGTTTACATCACTAACGATAAAAAGTCCTCCATCATAAAATCAATATTTACTCTTCCTGGTGCCGTGCCGGTTCCGTCGCGAAACTTCGACGGGTCATAATTTCTTCGTTATAACTCGGATGTCGATGCTCTTTATATGTACGGAAACCTTGTGACATATTCTACAACTTGGTTAATATTATTTATTCTAAATAATCTTTTGTTGAAAAGTCATTTTCGACCCCTATTACCTCTAAATTGACTAGCCCGGATCTACGGGCGTTACATTGGCTGTGGATCATGATCCATTACATCGTGTGGAAGATGAAACTCAATCTGTTAATGAAGAAGATGATGAAGATCTTAATGATGATGTGGGATTTTTGAAAGAGATAGACTTCACCGGGATTAGTGATGATTTCCCTACAAACGTCGAACTTGAACTTGACGATGACGAGTTTAGTCCATTTGCGGGGCATGACAGCGACTGTTTTAAAAAGGTCAATGATGTTTTTTATTCAGTAACCAAGACTGGGGAAGACAGTAATGTTCTCAATATTTTTCTCTCATCTTCCAAGCCTTTGTAGATTTCATCAGGTCAAAGAGATGTGAATTCAGAGATTCCTCCCTCTGTTTCAACTGTCTTTACTTCTTCTCCGCTTGTTGTTGAATCATCTCAACCCCAAACCTCCCAGTCTTCCTTGGAAAGAAGTCAATCAAATACAAGTATGGAGGTGCCCATTGTCAGCCATGCACCTCAGGTCTTTTCCACTTTTACCACTACTATTGTTTTCACCCCACCAATACAATCAGATGAAGGTCCTAGCACAATGTTTGAGACAGGTGGTTCATCATCTATCTCGTAATATTCTTCTACAAGACGATAACTAGATGATGCCTCAATTAGATTGGCTAAGCACCTTGCTCAACACAGTTCAACCTCTTCCTCTCGTGGCAAAGGTATATCTTTTAGAGAAGAGCATTCAGGTGATGACAAGTCTACTGTGTCAGAACTTAGGGAAGAGATTGGCATTCTCAGGCAGGAACTCATTGAAAAGAAAACTTTGCTAGAACAAAACACTTCTTATATAGAAGAGCTTAAAGAAAAGGATGAAGAGAAGACAAAACAGATTAAGGATCTACAGACAAATCTTGGCTCTATGATGGCTTTCTACTTCAATTTGAAGAACGTTCTGTATGATGCCTTCGGTGATAAAGTTAAAGCGTTATTTCAGCAGCCACACGGAATTGAGGATCCTCCCATGACCCCCACACAATCTACTTCAGGCGACCTTCCAGTTGATCCACCTCCTCCTAGAACAACTATAATTGTCGATGTATTTGAAAAGGAACCTGAAAGCAGCAAAGCCCGCATCAAAATCAAACAGGGAAAGAGGACTGTCACGGCTAACAAAAGCGAAGGGCTACTCTTCTTGAAAAATTCAAACGAGAATCGAAATGCCAAAGACCCTATGCTAACAGTGACTAATCACAAGAAAAGAAAATTTGGTGATGAGTTCGGAGATAGATCGGGAATTTGAATGTGGGCCTTTGATCCCGAGTCAAACATGTGGGTTGTGAAAAGGAAATCAGCAAATCATGAGTATTACAAGAGAACCCACGATTTTAACTCGTGGACCAAAGTGGATCTTTCTGAAATATCGAGAGCCCCATTCCATAATCCATCTAAAGATCCCAGTGCTACAAACTTCAAAAGATTTATTGACAGATAGGTGAAGGAAAACTTTCCAAAAATGAAGACTGCAAGAGCTTTGTACTTAAAAGACCAAGAAATTCTAGATCCTGAATCAGGCGAGCCTATGAATATTATCTGTTGGCCTGCCGCTAAACAATAGAAGGAATTTCCTATCCCTCAACACTTCCGTGAGGGATATCTTCATAATATGCAATTTTGGGCTTACGACGATGAAACTGCCACTGCTGCTGTGTCAACGTAATTTTTCAAACAATTTTGTTTTTTGAAAATTAAAATATTTTATCTCTTTAACGCTTTTCATAAAAATCCCATTTCTTTAATTTACAATACATAACTCATTTTCCAATCAATTAATAAACCAGGATCCTCAAACAAACAATTCCCTCGGTGTGTACAATCGAGTCGGTGTCGTCCCATGAACTTGAGAAACTAGAAACAGATAACACAAAACACTGTAATCATGAAGCTTAGTGAGTTCCCCAAAATACCACTCTAACACATATTAGCTGCTCAAGGCTATAACTCTGTGTACCCTCTGGTCTGTGTGTCTCAGTGGGACCCTCCAGTCCCAACTCGCTGTGGACCCTCTAGTCCTAACTCTATGGACCCAAAGGTCCTAACTCTGATAACTCAGAATCATGCATATCACATATCACAATAAATCTCATAAAATAAATAACATACAATTACACTGGCACATAACTGTAAACCAAACTCTGTAGATCCTCTGGTCTTAGCTCTGTGGACCTTCCGGTCCTAACTCTGATATACACACAGCATAAATCACATAGAAATAATGCATTGCCACACATAGCATACATAGCATACAATAACTCTGTCACATAACTCTATTACCACTCTAGGTAAAGTATAGTGAGAAAGCTCACTTTCTACTGTCGACTGAAGAACAAGATCACGCTGCTACGACCACCATCACGGACTCCACAACTGAATCACCGAAAGTAATAAATACTAATAACAACCAAAATACCTCTGGAAATCAACTGGTCAACTCTTGGTCAAAGTCAAAGTCCTCAGTCAAAGCTAACCCTCCTGACTGACTCCACTTGCCGAGTCAACCCGCTGACTCGTCGAGTCCCCATGCTCTGAAACTCCCATAACACGACTCAACACACAGAGTCGCCCCAAGACTCGCCGAGTCCCACAAATCTGAGTCAAACTGTACTCAACTCACTGAGTCATCCCTTGACTCACCGATTCTCAGCTTAACCAAAAAAGGTTAGAACCTCAAGACCAGACTCGCTGAGTCCAAGGCTATCCTCAACCAACTCACTGAGTTGTTCTTCCAACTTGCAGAGTTTCTTCCTAACTTCATGCAACTCGCCGAGTACACCCATGCGACTTGTCGAGTACCACTAGCTCTTAACCTATACAAAGGCTTTCTGAGCCATGCAGGGTCTCCAATCCATAGATCTACTCTTATACAAGGCATCCATCACGTAAAGTGGCAAACTTTATGTGAATCCAAGGAGATCTAAGCATAATACACTCTTGGTCTAACGTTTGGTGCTAAAAGACTTCATCAACAGCTCTTGAATAGGGACTTTATACTTTTTTGGATAATCACTATTCTAGATCTGAGGTAGCAACCTCAGATCTAACCTCCAAACTCAAGTTAGCACTAGATATACACCCAAAAATCCCACAAATGATATATCTAGATGGATAACAACTTAAGAAACGAATCATTACCTCAAAAGAAGGCTCCAACAGAAGAATAAGTCAAAACCTTGAAAATCCCCTTGCTCAAAGTATCTTAATCTTCAAAGATCTCTTCAACAAACACTCCTTCAAGATCCAAATGTTCTCTAATTCTATAACAACGAATATTATGGTTTCTGGACTTCAAGGGAGAGCAATGAGGCTAGGGAGAGGGTATTATGTTCATTATATAGGGCCAAATCCCTGGGATTAAGGTTTTCTCCACACAACACCAACTCACTAAGTCCAACCACCGACTCGCAAAGTTGGCCACTAGACATGCGACCAGAAACGTAACCCTACTCGCTGATTCTACCCATGGACTCGCCGAGTTGATCATTCACATTTTCACTATAAACCCTGAACTTTGCACCCCTAAACTCGGGATATTACAGCTGCAATAAAATTCAAGGATAGAGAACAAGTCTTGAGGCTGATAAGTGCTAAAGATCTTCTTAGCTTCAGGGAAAGGGATATCCGCACTCTGTCTCATCACCAGATTATATGCAGAAAAGATGTTATGGAGGCGGCTACTAAAAAGTTCACTTGAATGGTTGCCACCATCATAAATGGAAGACTGTGGATGCGTTCTATGGGAAGGTCGGATTTAAAGCTGTATGAGAAGCTAACAGAGTGAAGATCAAAACTGTGCTAACCTCAAACCAAGGGGGAGATTGAAAGACTATAATATTGTGGTTTGAGCTAGGCATTATTCATGTATAGATCTTGTTAGGGTGGTAGTGTATGTAGTATAGTGGTGACATGGTTTAGACTTGGTGTGTGTGCAGTCTCACTCGTGTGTGCAGCTACACACGTGTATGCGGTCACACACGTTGTGTGCGACCGCACGTGCGTGTACGGCTGCACACTTGTGTGCATGTGTGGGTAGTATTTAAAGGGGGTTGTCATGTGTCAGTTGTACTTAATGAACAGTGACATGTGTGTGTACTTTCAAGGTGTACCTGACATTTATGAGCAATAGATGTGTGCATGCTTGATGTTATTTCTCTCCTACTCCTTCTACACTCTATTTTGATTGCTATTTGCTTCATTGATTACTGATTTGGATCTACATTTGGGGACTAACAACCTACCATAGTTAACAATTCAGGTGTACCCCCATCAAGCAAAACACCTGATACATTAATGAAAAATTTTTTAGTTGAGTCCTCATGACCGGTTCCCAACCTTAATAATCAACCCCTCATAACAGCTTGCGATAAAACAGGTTTATAATGCGAACATTCTGAGAGATTTTCTGATACACAACTGATACTCCTAACAACCTTTAATTTTTCCCTTTATCCAAACCACCTGATTGTGTGTTGTCACACCCCAAAACCAGGAATGGCGGAAACGTTCTGTGGCGGAGGACATCATGTACAGTATCACAACAATGCAAAGTAGTAAACAAGCAACAACCTTATCCATTGCATTAATAATAGAATTATTATACAAGTGTGTTCTGTCAAATTTTGATAAACACTAAAGCATAAATAAAAATGAAAGATGAATCTTCAACGAGCTTCATCTTCCCTAGTCCTTGCATCGGTACCTGTCTATGATGACCTGAGGATACAAGTAATTTTGAAAGCGAGTATCAACTTTAAAGCTGGTGAGATCATAAGTATTTAGTGGCTTAATTTGTACGTAAGTATTTGTAAGTAATAATTTGTATATGAACTATAAGTATGAAGAGGTTTGCAAAACAACTGTAAACGTATGAAAAACCCTAGAAATCCCTATGAATCCTATTAGTAATAAAAGGAGTCTTCTACCAAGACTTAACTGTTCTCAATGTAGTCTTACATCAAGACCTAACTATTCTGAATGTAGTCTTCTACCAAGACCTAAATGTTCTGAATGTAGTCTTCTACCAAGACCTAACTGTTCTGAATGTAGTCTTCTACCAAGACCTAACTATTCTAAATGTAATCTTCTACCAAGACCTAACTGTTCTGAATGTAGTCTTATACCAAGACCTAACTGTTCTGAATGTAGTCTTCTACCAAGACCAAGTTGCATTAGTATTACCCTTTGGAACAAGGGCAACTAACAATGTTAATTGATGACATCCGTAGATGTACATTTACCTCTGTTGCTAACAGCTGGGTATAGGAATAGTCAGTCCCCAAAAGTGTACCTGTAATGGTATCAACCGTTGACATCCGTGGATGTGCTTTTACCTCTGTAGCTAACAGAGATTCTAGGAATGGTCAGTCCCGCAACGTATCCTTGGGTACTAGGATATTAAATCCAATCTATCTCGTCGATTATGTGATTGAATCACAAGGTAAAGATAAGAATGAGGATTATATAACAGAATCTATACATATAAAATGTACTAGTAATTCTTGTAAGTGTCCTCATGTACATGTGATCATGTGACCATATCTATGTAGTAGTATGGGAAGGTACTGTGATGTTCTAGCTGTAGTGTACATGCTCTCTATCTACTAAGTATAGTAATATACTGTAATGTTCTAGCTGTAGTGTACGTGCTCTCTATCTAGTAAGTATAGTAATGTACTGTAATGTTATAGCTGTAGTGTACGTGCTCTCTATCTAGCAAGTATAGTAATGTACTGTAATGTTCAAGAAAGCATGACTCATGAATGAGCTGACTCATTGTATAGTATTGCGTTCTAGTAATAGTTCTAGTATCTTCCTAAACTTCCCATATGGTAGCTTACTAGTAATATAATTGGTATGTATGAACATGGATGTATACCCTTGCTACCCAAGGGCATTGGATGAACTGGAAGAGCCTTTATGACTATATATGTACATATGATATATAACTAATATTTAAACGAACTTCGGACGGATACCCGATATCCCACCAGACCACATCTCAAGCGCGAAAAGGAAATAGGGTGGATAGCCTTCCTAAGTCTTTTAAACATTTCTCATATAACTATACATATATAGGCATGCAATTTATAATATAAAAGCATAAAGTAAGTTTTGTAAAACCTTTGAACATAATTATTATCTGAAGAAAAGATCAACTTGATGTCAATCTATAAAACAATTTGAAGTAAAAACAGTTTGAAGTAAGACAGTTTGAAGTAAAACGTTTTGATAACAACTTGGAGTAAA